TTAAAAGATAACACTTAACACACTAACAACACAATCACACACTTGAAACGTAAATCCAATGTGCAAGTGAACCCATTTTCTAACCTCCTTATCAACGAAGTTGCAGCCTGTCGATTTTGCAGGCTTTGCCGGTCGTTGTTTTTGGGTTCTATTGTAAAATAAATTGTAAAATTGTAACTTGCAAGTAATTGTACAAACAGGTATTTTCCGACAGCACACTCCAGCCATGGACCATCGTTTGCAAACAAAGACAAATGGATAATTTGTGTTTTGAAAAAGGCCTGTTGTTCTAAAAAACAGAAAGAAGAACATTTCCCGGCATTTGGTCGTGATTGCCGCGAGGCATATAAACTGAATAAACTACATGTAATTAGCACTCAAAATACAATACAGTAATGGTTAGCATTGTTCTGTGGGCAAATACTGAAATGTGCTATTAAAATTCTTAAAGAGAAGATTAGCTGATTATGATATTTTAAATCCTGCCTAGAACTGAATTCCTCATGCCATTACAATCGATTAAGTCGGACTGAAGCAAGACAGCATTTTGGTTATTGAGTTTACTGAACACACTACTCAGATATTTTCAACAGCAAGTCTGAAACACTTACCTGGCTTACCGCCGGTCTGACTGGCCTCCGCATCACAGCCTGTGAAGTGTCTACCAATTGTCATCATTGATTACCTGGCAGGACGTCTTGCAATCACTGTGTCACCGAGGACGGTGACTGGCATTGTCAGGAACACAGTCGTAGATGACTGTCATAACTTTCCTTTAGTACATTGACTAGCGCTTTTAATACTTTTTTGGTCATTATGTTTATACTAGTGCTGGTATTGGCACACAACCTGCGATACGATACATCACGATACTAATTTTACTCACGATATATTGCCAAAGTATTGTGCACTGAAGCTTCGATATGATATGAATCCCGATATAAGGGTGGCGATACGATACGTATCACGATATTAAAATCTTTAATTCTAACACCAAATATAAAACACTTCAAGATCAAAACAAAGCCATTTCGTCAAATTCCGTCAGCGCTTTGTTTAAATGTTCATTCGGAAACGAGATAATTATGTTTATACACGGACTTTGTGAAAGTTAATAACATGTGAGCGCTATGTTTGACACAGTTCTTGACGCATGAATTTCCGAGAAAACGTTTACTTATGACGGGAAAATAATTAAGCATATATTTAATCATCAAACAAGGTAAGCCTATTTTCTTAACAGATATCGCGATTCGGCAATATTAAACATCGATGGCTCGTGGGGCATTTGAAGTATCGTATCGGGATATACGACAATGTAAAATGTCACACCACTAGTTTATACTGGTAGTGGTAGGCCGAGGATGTGGACAGGTCGCGATGGGCGAACTGGCTAAGGCGCCAGACTAGTGATCCAGCGAGGTAGAGGTGTCGGGATCGAGCCCACCTGTGACCGGGTGTAAAAACCTTGGAGTCAACTTTGTGTGCAGACTCTTTCAGTGTTGTCACAACCCCTAATGTACAGTACACAACCCTCGAACCCACGAATCCGTTGGTATTTGACCAGATGGTGGCCACATGAATATGTGCAAACACCTAGCTAGTTGCGGGTACAGCAACGTGCAGTGAACATGGACAAAGTACTGTGACTTTGTGTCCCAGTCCACCCAGCTGTGAATGGGTACCTCGTTAGGATGAGAAAGCCACAATAACTCGGTGCGCCTAGTGGCTGCAAGAGTTGTATACTCCCCAGGGAGTTGAGATTGATAATGCGATGTGCTGTTCAGATTGACATCCAATGATCGAGGAAAAAATACCAGCGCCTTGAGCATGCACCAGTACGTGGATATGTGCGCTATATAAATATCCTATAATAATAAAATATCACGACAACTCTTGCCTGGAGTCTTCAGGGAGACTCACGTCCCCAGCGTCACGCTGTGTCAGTCTCTGTGTTGGTACTTCACTTCCTGCATGGCCTACACCTGGGGTACGGAGACAGGCTTGTGTCAGTTGAGGACACAGGAGGACCACTCCACCACAGTAAGCCGCATCTGTACTCGGACGCGCTGGTTCCACCTGATATGATGTGTGACTTTATGCCATCTGTGACGATTAACGGGATCGGGTGGTCAGGCTCCTTGTCTTGGTTGACACATGTCATAGTATACCAATGTCCAGTTGCATAGATCGAGCTCATGCTGTTGATCACTGGATTGTCTGTTCCAGGATTGATTATTTACAGACCTATCTATGTATGTATGTATGTATGTATGTATATATCTATCTATGTATGTATGTATGTATGTATGTATGTATGTATGTATGTATGTATGTATGTATGTATGTATGTATGTATGTATGTATGTATGTATGTATGTATGTATGTATGTATGTATGTATGTATGTATGTATGTATGTATGTATATATCTATGTGTGTGTTTATGTGCCTGACATTGAGCGGTTTCAAGGTCATAAAATAGTATCCAAATTTAAGTTCTTGAATTAATATCTGACACCTTTAAATGTAAGTAGACAGAGAGAGCCTGTGTTCCTGTATTAAGGTCTTTGAATAATGACACGATCACATTGCCTTGAACTGTAGAAATAGTTACAGATATGTGTCCAAGTGGCATATTATGACTGAATGTGTTCACACCCGCAGCTGGGGACGAGGAGTTATGTCTTGAGGATAGGGGATGGCCGTGTATGGCACTTTGGACATTCATGGTTAAACTTCGGAACTCGGTGTCTCTGTTCAAATCTTTGAAGGGCATTTAGATTTAGAATACATCAGGAAAGCATCATTTGAAGGTGTCATGACCTGATGAAGGCGCAAGCATATACTCCGTAACGTCGTGTTATTCACAATAAAGAAGTTGACATCCATAAATCTTGCTTTTCTTTGTATTTCTGTTGTCTGGCTCTAAATACTTGCCGCCTTATGCACATACACGCACGTGCATGTAATGCACAGTGCGGCGTTAAGAAGCAAACGTACACATGACATACAGTGAAATCTTGGTATCCAGACGGCACCGACCCCGGCAACAGCATCACAGTGTGCACATCCAAGTCAGCCACCATATCTACGGGTAGAAAAAGGCCAAAATCTCAAATATGGGCTTACGGAACTACGGAGTCTAGAAAAAAGGACTTTCAATGTGCAATCTGTTTTGGCGTATTGCTTGTTAATCATGTTCACCATTTATACTTGAGGGCACATGTGATATCGTGATATTGTGATATTGTGATATTGTGATATTGTGATATTGCCACCCCGATGTAATACAATGAGCCACGAGTGTAGTCATTGTGACTCAGGATGTACTCAGGACACCATACAAGTACATGAGGGTGTGTCACTTTCGCAAGCCTCAAAATAGACCACAGATGTCAGTGATATCACGAAACGGAACTGTCCTATCTGATCCTTTGTAACAGATTCTCGTGAGAAACGAGCGGAATCTCTCATATGTGTGAATCACTCATATACAGCTTGTAACTGCGTAAGCATATCGTTGTATGCGTTATCCGAAATATATTCTCCTAAATATGTAAGAAACGCAGAAGAGGTTTTCAGATGTATACTTTTATCTAGTTTGTATTATACATATATTATATATGTAACAGATCAGAATAAAGTGTTCACATATGACACACGTCATTGTCACTGACTGATGATCATCATGGTGAACATGGAACTCTCGAGTGTCAAGGTGAAGGTCATCTCTTCTTGCCATCTTGTAAAGCAGTCCAGAACTGCCTGGCGTTTCCAACCCCATTCTTTACCCACTCTTCATTCAATAGCTATGCCAACTGTTGGGGGTTCTGTGGCTGTTGCTGACGAAATTGCAGACATTGATCAAGAGCATCGCATAAATCTTTGCAGGGGTTTACATATGTGGACCTTGAGGCTAAAGTATCTGGATGTGGCTCCTTCGTTGTCGGTCAAGTCGGTCAAGTCGTGTGACATTGTTGTGTTGAGAAACTAATATTGCATAACATGAAGGACTTGTGGCTGAAGAAGTGCATCAGTGTAATGCTGTGTCGTTGAATTGCATGCATCAAGTCTGCTCTACCGGTATAGGAGATGGCAGCCAAAATCATCACTCTCGACACCAAACCTGTCACTTCCTATTTGCAGTTCTCCAAGACGTCTTCTGAACAGAGAAGCAAGATCCGTGACTCGCCACTAAACCAAACACGTCTCCATCGCTGTTATGACCATACTCTGCGTCCTTCACACCACTGAAGTCACAGCCCAACAGTCAGAAGGACGCCTCGAGCTGGTCGTCAGGGTCGAATACCTGCGATGTGGAGATGTTTCCTCATTGCCTGGGCGGCAATCCTTGGCACTGTTTGTGTTGTTGTAGCTGTAGGTACCTGTGGTAAGTCTATCATGTAAGTGGCAAACCCGTATGTGCTTGGGTTGTAACACATGGTTGACTGGATGCGGGTAGGTCTGAAAACGGTTCCATGGTAACGGTGGTGGAGTTTTCACTACTTTATCGTCTTTCGTATATTTCCCCAGACTATATTCTAACCGCTGCATGCAGACATAATGAATTTACACTTGGCATTTCTTTTGTTTTCTTCTATAAATATCAGCAAAACTCCGTAAGATAGGTCCAACTTCTGTCTTTGCATTTCTTTTTCTCGTTGATATGTTGCATTACACTTCAAAACAAGTAATCGTCAAAACTCTTAGCAGTTATGTTGAAACAAATTCAAAGAATGCATGTAAGTGTACCTCAGTGAACCAACTGAATACATAACCATGCCTTCTAAGATACTGGTGACGCTGATGCTGCATATTATCTTACTGCCAAACATGTGACCACAATTCACCTTTATATATCACTGGTTGGACGAACATGATTTTAGTGCCAAACCGAAAGGTGAAAAACTAACACTTCAAGACTTCCATGCAAACGTTAACGCTATGGAAATAGTGGGATTGTAGGACCAATAATAGAGCCATGATGAAGAACGATTATTTTGTTGCATGCTTTTGAAAAATATCATCTATATTCAACCGACGACGGGTTTAATGTATTATATTAAGGTTAGTACCGTCCTTATTCTACTTTCTGTTTTGTATCCACTTTAGGTTTAGTACATTTCCTATTCTACTCCGAGAAGAACTGAGCTGTTGACTTGACGCTTATTATGAATACGATGTGATTCAAGTACCGGGAAAGTGACCCCATTGGCCACGCGTAAGAGGAAGTATTAAGCCACACTTAGAGATGTAGTATACATTGATGCTGTAAGTATTCTATCATTGCGACATGGCATCCATATCAGTAATGTACACATTATGTGCGTTTGTTATGGCTTCAGGAGGCAAAGATGGAGCCTCCAACGGTAAGTATGTAGTCTTTATGTACTGACAATTTACTTCACCGCATATGTTTCCTCCCGTTCGAAAAACTGGACACCAGTACAGAGGAGATTTCATTTTATTTCAAACATTTATTGTCAGAAAGAGACTATCTTGATTTTTCTTACGTTCAAGGTATCCATATATTTAATTACATTTCATCTATATTTAGGTAAATAAAGGGCTGGACAAAAGAAAGCTTAAATCCATGCATGTTTGTAGTTATAAAGACACAGTCGATGGTGATGTAATTGATACATTTATGAGAGAGTTGTGTAGTTTATACATGTTTAGAACCTATGAGTTACTGTTTAACGTTATAACGACTGACTGGTTGTATTGAGAAGGGAGGGGGTGAAAGCAGTCATAGGATAGAGAGATTGCACGAGAGAAGAAAGTAACATAGAAAGAGCGGGAGAAATGAAAGATGATCTAAGACGACACCCTATCCATCTGAATAACCACATCTGCCCAAGTTGTTTTTTTTGTATCTCAGTACGTTGCAATATCTCAGTTATATGACGGTGGCATGTATACTACAAACAACAAATATGGGAACACCCTAAAATTTGATAGTCATATATAAACTGAAATGTGGTGAGGTCATTTATACTCTAAGGTAAATGCAACTTTTTGTGTGCTTAATAAGCACTTTAAACGACATGTTGGAACACGCAGTGAAGCAACTGATTCAATATTCGTTGAGTTTGAGTGAAGTGAAGATTGCTAAAAACAGAGAAAAACAAGGGTGCTGAAACACACCAGCACTATGTTTGATTCAAACGCCTAAACAGCCTAGTGCATGTGGAAGACAGACTTCCCGTGCATCTTGTGGCAACTGGGCACAGGCAGTTGTGAATCGGTTCCGAAGGGCTTGGACCATAACATATCGGTCATCTGCCTTTGATGCTTTTCTGGGTATTCCAGAGCGAGGTCTGTCCTTTACTCTGCCAGTGGCCTGGAACCTCCCTCAGTCTGTGAATGACAGAGGGAGACACCCTAAGATGGAGAGCAACACTTCTTATGGATTCACCATCCTGTAACCATTCAATGGTCCTCCTTCTGTTGTGGGCGCTTAACAGTTTGTGCTGTGGCATGTTGAAGACGATGTGAGGCTTCAATACTGTCTGTAGCTTCTTTTAGAGGAAACGTTGCCACAAGCTTCATGAAGTCTGTCTTCCACATGCACTGGGCTGCTGTGTTTGGGCGTTTGAATCAAACATGGTGCTGGTGTGTTTCAGCATACTTGTTTTTCATTTCACTCAAACTCAGCGAATATTGAATCAGTTGCTTCGCTGCATGTTCTAACATGTCGTTTAAAGTTGCATTTACCTTAGAGCATAAATGACCTCACCACGTTTCTGTTTACATATGACGATCAAATTTTAGGGTGTTCCCATATTTTTTGTTTGTAGTATATATCATGGAGTCTTGACCAGATAATCCAATTATAGATATTTAGCAACTGTCTGTGACGTTGGGGTGCAATATTTGTTTGTTTGTTTATTTGTTGGTTGTTTAACCCCGTACTCAGCAATGTTCCAGCTGTATGGCGGCGGTGGAGTGCAGTGGCATGCAATGAACCGTGTCATCACTATAATCAAAGTAATCCCATCCAGGGCCCACTTGCACAGAACGATCTTAGCGCTACAATTATTGTAATTCCTTAAGATCGCGATCTTAGGCTTCGGTTACAATCGCCATCTACTTGCACAAAGCAATTGTAGGCTAAGATCATTGTAAGTTACAATCGAAACTTACAATTGGTCCAGACCAATTGTAAGGAGCTAAGATCATTTTAGTCATTTTAGAAATGGCATTCAAATTAGTGTCTGTTTCACGCAAATAATCAGCTTTACGTTTGGAGATTGCATTTATATTGCATAAAACTGTGTGGTTCGCCTCGACACTTCAACAACACGGAGAATGCACAACCGATTTAACGTCGGATGCATTCTTATTTACTGTTGTGAAACACATAACTATCGAGTCGATATCACAAAGTACTATTCCCACCCGATTCAATGTTGGAATAAGTGTGAAACAACATACCTTCTTGATAATCCAGGAAAGGATAATAGTGAATGGTGTCCGCGTGCGATTAACAATGGCCGTGACCTTTTCATTAACTCAAGAGCAGATAATTTTACTTTATACGCAAGATGGGAGTGGTTTCCCTTGGCATATGCCGTTGCCGTACAGTCTGTCATGCCCATTGCAGAGTTCAACATACTGATATCTCTTTTCGGTCATGGAGTGATTTTGTCTTAGTTTATCATTAAAGTAATCTACAAGTAGATACAAGTTAACGTGCAAAATCAAGTTTCTTTCTCATCCATAAATCTAAATTTGATTATGGAATTTAGATATATATACAAGTAGTCATTCAATAGGGATATACACATGATGAGGCATTAAAGATATTTATCAACGCAATAGGGTTAAATAATTAATATACTGTGAATACGTATTTAATAACTACTCTCTTGAAATATTATTTAATACACGTATTTCCCTGCCATGCATTCTTTACAACACTTCTGTAGCCATTATTTTATTGTATTATATTCTAGGATATATTTAGGATTTTACAACCACCCCCAACCCCACCGCCACCAACAGCTGCGTTTTAAACAATGTCTCATTGACAACCATTGGCAAATCATACATTTAGGTGTTATATCATAAGGAAATACCGTTTATATTTGTTATTTTAAGTTCCATAATTAAGTCACTAAATCTAGATTCAAATTTATTCATGTATTTTTTCGTATTTCAGTATTTTCATAAAACATGGGTAGGTATTTCTGTGGTTGCAATATCACATTCTCAGTTCATAAATCAAGACAGTTAGAATGTAGAAAAATATATGCTATCGTCCACGTAATCGGTTCCTTCTAAGATTTCTGGGACTTTTTCATGAAAATTCTGCAAGGTGCGATTGAGGGAGGTATGTTTTGTGTGCTGGGACCAGTATCACTTTTTATTTGCGAAGCATGCTATGCGCACTTTCAGACAACTGTAGACGGGAGTCGAGTTTAAGAAATTCGTACCTCCACCGTTGAAGGGTTCGATCTTAGCTAACTTCGCGATCTTAAATACATGCCGTCTTACAATCGCTCTAAGATCGGCTTTGTGCAAGTGGATTAGGGCAATTGTATGGTGATTTTAAAGTTGATTGTAAGGCCCTAACATTGATTGTAACTAAGATTGCTCTGTGCAAGTGGGCCCAGATCTGCAATAAAGAAGTTGACATCCATAAATCTTGCTTTTCTTTGTATCTCTGTTGTCTCGCTCTAGATACTTCCCGCCTTATGTACACACACGCACGTACATACAATACACAGTGCGGCGTTAAGAAGCAAACGTGCACATGGCATACAGTGAAATCTTTGTTATCCAGACGGCACCTACCCCGGCAACAGCATCACAGTGTGCACATCCAAGTCAGCCACCATATCCACGGGTAGAAAAAGGCCAAAATCTCAAATATGGGTTTACGGAACTACGGAGTCAATGTGCAAACTGTTTTGGCGTATTGCTTGTTAATCATGTTCACCATTTAACTTGAGGGGGCATGTGATATTGTGATATTGTGATATTGTGATGTTGTGATATTGTGATATTGTGATGTTGTGATATTGCCACCCCGATGTAATACAATGAGCCACGATTGTAGTCATTGTGACTCAAGATGTACTCAGGACACCATACAAGTAGATGAGGGCGTGTCACTTTTGCAAGCCCAAAATAGACCACAGATGTTAGTGATATCACGAAACGGAACTGTCCTATCAGCGAGAAACGAGCGGAAACTCCCATTTGTGTGAGATAACGATATGCAGCTTGTAACTACGTTTGTCCCTGTGAAGTAAGTACAGTTAGGAATTACTGCAACGGTGTACAAAGTGTTTATACGTTCATCAACACAAAACTCCGACGTGATAAAGTTAAGTTTCATATTTATGGCGAGAATTTATGGATGTCAACGTCTCTTTTTTAGTTCTTACTCCTCCCCCATGTTCACCATGTGAACAAAAGGCTAGGATACTGAGAGCTGTATATGTATATGTAAAACGACACAGTGATGAGATATGAGGGGAAGCCAGTAGTGATAATTAGATTAACAGGTCAAGTTGTAAATTGTTAGGTGATTGCATGGTCCTGTGCCACATTGGTGACAGAACCTGTCATATATACGCGCAACTTCAAAATGATCGTATTTAACAGCGGCACAGTATGACGTTTACGTCATATAGCAACGTCTGATGTATGTCCATGTAGAAAGTGAACGCCGTTATAGGTGTCTCAAGCATGACAGTGTTGGAATATTACTACGTGTGGCCTAAAACCACTTCATTATATAACAAGTTTAAGAATTGATGACATTGACTATCATTTCTACATCAACTGCCTACATAAACTCAATACTTTGTTGTATCTGAGCTGTAAGTGAATACACCGAACTCATGATGCGCTTTCCTAAACTATTCATGCTTCACTGCGGCATGGTATCTCAGTGGGCTAGCACTATAAAACAAGCTTCAGTCTGGGCTAGTACAAGCAGCCACACATACACATACACACGCATGCACGTCGTCATATGAGCGACATATTCTCAAGCACGACGTTAAACCCAATTTCACCTCACCTCACCTTTCCTAAACTGCTGGCAGCAGCAATCAACAATCCTGCCATATCTATAGCTACTATAGTTATCTTGAAGTGGGTTTGAATCCCATATTTGATCTGATTGTAATCCTTGGCCTGAAGCCTTAGTCTCAAGTACTTCATCCATCCCTTCAACCATGAACCCTATGAAGCGAAATGACTGAAATTGGGCCTAGTTCTCGTCTTTTCCGTCGTCCTTTTTCATGCAGGAGCACTCATCTGTGTTTCAGAAAGTTTTATATATTTGATTTGTTTTCAATCTGACATCCCATGTCACTTTGAAAATATCATTTTGTTGGCACATTTAGACAAT